GTTTCGGGTCCAGTGACCCCTCTTCAGGACTCTGTTTAACACGGAGGTCCAAACACAGACCCTTAAAGGGTTCCACTCATCAGATCCTTCCAGTCAGCAAAAGACCATTTATGCATACTGTCGATTTTCTGTCAGTCAGCCAATCATCTATCTATTGCTATTATGTTACCTCTACATCATGAGCTCCTACTTTATTGCAATAACCTTAATTTGGCACCTTGTCAAATGTCTTCTGCTAGTTCAAGTACAGTACATATACAAGCTCCCCTTTATCCATAGCATATATTATTACTTCAAAGGACGCCAATAAATTGGTTAAACATGATGTCACTTCTACAGGGCACTGCTGACTCCTCCCAACTGCCTTGAGCTTTTCTATGTGTTCAACTATAACCACCTGAAAGATCAATTCTAACACTTTCCCCACGACAAATATTAAATTAACTGGGTTATTGTTTTCCTGTTTTCTGTTGCCCTCCCTTCTTGAATAAAGAAGTTATATTTGCTATTTTCCAATCTGATGGATCCTTTCCAAATTCTAGTAAACTTTGGAAAATGGAAACCAACACATCTACTGCTGATCAGCCACTTCTAGTAAAACCTTAGGATGAAATCCATCAAGAGCCAGGGACCCGTCAACTTTCAGAATAATCGGTTTGCTCAGTACTAGTTCCTAATGATTGTAATTTTACAAAGTTTGTCTCTCCCTCCCCTTTATTTACAACTATTACTGAAACATTTTTTGTTATCCTCTAAGGTGAGGACAGAAGTAAATATTTATTCGTTTTATTTATTCTATTCAGTTCATTTCCTTATTATCTACTATTAACCTCTCATTCTCAATCTCTAGCAGACCAAAACTCACTTTGCCCACTCATTTCCTTTTTAAATATCTGTAGAAACTCTTGCTATCCATTTTTGTATTTTTAGATAGCTTTCTCTCATACCCCAGTTTCTAAAATTACTGCTGGTACGTGGATTGGTGAGAAAAAGTTGCAGATATATGAACCACAGCAAAAGAACCAAAAGGGAGATTATTGATTGGTTACAGCACAAAAGGAGGCCATTCAGCCCATCATGCTGGCTCTCTGAAAAAGCAATTTATCCGATGTAACACCCTTGTCTTTTCCCTATGGTCTTGCACATCTTTTTCAGATAATGATCCAATTCATTTTTGAAAGCCTCAATCAACCTTGTCTCCATCACACTCTCAGGCAGTGCCTTCCAGATTCGAACCACTTGATAAGCAAAAATGCTTTTCCTCATGTTGCCATTGTGATATATGCCCTCCTTCCTCTACTCAGAATGGTTTCTCCCTATCTAGTTTGCCCAGATCCCTCATGATTTTGAATACTTCTTTCTACATAACTGAAGTTCCTTATTCCTGGAGTCATTCTTTGTGAATCTTTTCTGCAGCCTCTCCTATGTCTTCATATTCTTCCTAAAGTATGGTGCCCAAAACTGGACACAATTGAGGCCTTATGTGGGTTTAACATAATTTCCTTGCTGTTGTTCTCTATACCGCTATTGATATACGCGCCTCCATTGATATAACCCAGAATGTGTGTTCTTTATTAACTGCTTTGTCAACCTGTCCAGCCACCTTCTATGATTTATGCACATATACACCCATGCATCTCTGCTCCTCTGCTCCTGTATGTCCTTTAGAATTACACCTTATGCATTCTCTACGCATTCTTCCTATCAAAATGAAACACTTCACAAGCTTTTCAACATTGTTACATCTGCTACTCATCCACCCATTTTGCCAACTTTTTGAAGTTCTACATTATCCTACTCATGATTCATCATACTTCTAAGTTTTCATATTAACCTCAAATTTTATTACTGTGTACTGTGCACAAAGATCAATGTCATAAATCAATATCAGGGACACCATGGATCTAAACACTGATCCCTGGGGAATTTCACTACATACGTTCCACCAGTCCAAAAAGCAAGTGTTCCCCACCACATGTTGTTTCCTAACACTCGGCTAATTTTATATTCTGTGGATATTCCACGAGCCATAACTTTATTCATGAGTCTGCAGTGCAGTATTTTAATGAATGCCTTTAGAAGCCCAAGTACGCCACATCAATAGTGTTACCCTCATCAACCTTCTCTCTTACCACATCAAGCTAGTTAGTTAAGTACAGTTTTCCCTCAGCAAATCCATGTTGACTTTCTATAATTAACCTGTTTTCCAAAATGACTATTAATTTTGTCTTGAATTATTGCTTCTAAAAGTTTCCCGAACACACACAGTGAGTTATTCTCTGGAACTCACTGTCTAAAAGAACGTTTAACCAGATTTAGTAGACATTTTTCAAAAGGAAATTGGGTATATACTTGCAAAAGAAAAACATACAGTGTAATGGGGCAAAAGCAGAGGGATAGATCTAATTGATTTGCTTTCTCAGAGAGCTGGCACAGGCATGAATTGACCCAAGAGCTTTCATCTGTGCTGTCGTGTAAAATTATATGCTTTCTGCACCTGGAGGTTACCGCTGAAAAATATTGAGTTCTCTCCCATTGACTATTGAGATCAATGCTCCACCATGGGGCACAAAATATTGGTGTCCTGTTTGATGCATCTGTCGAGTGCAGAAATGTAATTTACGTCCTCTATAGCTGGTTGCATGCAGGAGACTGCAAAATTTACCAAAGTTTGTCTGTATTTTTCATAAGCCTACTTTCTCTATTACATTTTAATCTAATTTCTTCAGTCATTCAGGAATTGCTAACCTTTCCTTTCCTCCTCATGTTTATTCTATACCTGAACTAGCTTTTCCCCTGCCCCTCCCATTGCTCATTATCTATTTGACCTGCTCATTTTTGTTTCTGATCCACCTGGGCTGCATTGACTGCGCACACCAATGCATTGGAATACCAATCAGCATTTGCGACAGCAGGAAAAGAGATCACCCCATCAGTGGAAAGCTAGGAACTCCGTGGTAATGCTTTTAAAAAAAAGCTTGTAATTTCACACAATAAACCAGCTTTCTGGCTTGCTAACAATATAGCATGGCCGAGCTGTTTTGCTGAAGACCAGATCACGGCTGGAGCAGCCACCCAGCTGGAAGTAGATAATATGAGGTGCTGCATTTTGGAAAGGCAAATCAGGGCAGGACTTATACACTTAATGGTAAGGTCCTGGGGAGTGTTGCTGAACAAAGAGACCTTGGAATGCAGGTTCATAGCTCTCTGAAAGTGGAGTCGCAGGTAGACAGTGAAGGAGGCATTTGGTATGCTTGCCTTGATTGGTCAGTGCATTTGAGTCTAGGAGTTGGGAGGTCATGTTGCATTGGTTATACCACTTCTGGAATTCTGCATTCAATTCTGGTCTCGCTGCTTTGGAAGGATGTTGTGAAGATTTACAAGGATATTGCCAGGTTTGGAAGGTTTGAGCTATAGGGAAAGGCCGAATAGGCTGGGGCTATTTTCCCTGGAGTGTCAGAGGCTGAGGACTGACCTTACAGAAGTTTATAAAATCATGACAGGCATGGAAAGGGTGAATAGCCAAGATCTTTTCCCCAGGTTAGGGGAATCTAAAACAAGAGGGTATAGGTTTAAGGTGAGAGGGGAAAGATTTACAAGGGACCTAAGAGGCAACATTTTCACACAGAGGGTGGTGTGTGTATGGAATGAGCCGCCAGAGGAAGTGGTGGAGACTGGTACAATTACAACATTTAAAAGGCATCTGGATGGGTATATGAATAGGAAGGGTTTAGAGGGATATGGGCCAAATGCTAGGAAATGGGAGTAGGTTACTTTAGGATATCAGGCTGAAATAGACAAGTTGGACTGCAGGGCCTGTTTCCATTGCCGTAAAGCTCTATGATTGTACTTGGAGCATAGCTGATTAAGCTCGCTTTCAGCCTGATTTAAGACTCTGAATCAGTGACTTACAGAAATCGGCCTGCAGGCTCCCTGTCGGTGACAATAGCATGTCAGCAGACTGGAGGAGGCCTTCCAGTGTATGCTGGGAGCTTTAGGAACTCGAAAGACCACTCTCCTCTGCCACATAGCTGGCCATGGCCGAAGCCGCACGTCACGCTGTGGAGGAGTTTCTCAGCCAAAATGATGGTCCATAGCATGGGTTATCTTTTTATTCAGGTACGTTAAAAGTGCAAAGAGGATGGACACACCCTCTTTCTCCCATGCCTGCAACAGTAAGTTGCCCCTCTCTTTGTGCTGGAAAGTCTGCTATTCACCATCCTGTGTTGTCAATCCACCTGTCATCTTTAACTGCTTGGTTTGTGCACCATTTGGCCACTAATTGGCCATTGACGCCTTTTAAGCAATTTTTCAAAATCACAGTTCGTATTTTGAATGAGAGCTTTTAACGAGTTATTTAATTCAGGAAAGGTATTCCAATTTGAAATACGTGTTCATCTGCAGTTCACTTGGATAATAAAAGCAGTGTGTACTGCGTTCTAAATCCAGCAGGGATGGAAGGCAAATATTTTATTTCAGCCTTAGGCTAGATTCTGAAGCATGATTGGTTAAGATAAAGCCACAGGCAATCAAATGGTTTCTCACTGATTGACTACTAACACAAAATATCAGTCAGGAATGGAACAACATACTATATTGTCTAATGATCTCACTAAATGATAAGACAAAGGAATGATATTTCTTAATCATCATGTTACCTGTCAGAATCACTCACTTTGAAGTCTATCACCAGCAATCAGATCATTTAAAATAAGTTGGGCACATGGGCATTTTTTATTAATGCACTTATTACTCTTGCAAAACAACCTTGTTATTACCTGAGCTTTTCATGTTATTGCCATCAAACAAGATCTCATAGTACTTGTTTTTTTGTTTACATTTGTTATTGCGTCAACTGGTGTTAGTAATGTAGCAGATTTCTGTTCCCTGTTAATTGAACTTCTCTTGTTTTATGCGCTCGATATTGATTCTGTGCTTGTAATGGTCTCAGCTGCTCTGTGTTTTCCTTTCCTATTTAAAGAATGTTTTTTCTTTTCCAGCTGGATCACAGATGATCATGTTGCTTGGAGATTTGGCATGTAAGTATGGCTGATTTAACTCTGAGCTCACAGTCCACTTCAGGTCATCAACATTTTCTTTTAACCTAAAATATAGAAGAAGAAAATCTAATAAAACTAGTTCACCTTAACTGTTAATGTACTTGGATTACTATTGATACTAAGTATAGCATTCTGAAGTGATAGTTTTTCTATTGTTAAAGTTACACAGTCATAAATCATTGTTTGTTTATGTGGAAGACATGCTTCGATATTTGGGTTTAGTGAAACAATTTCCTCTAAGTGACAACATCTGTTAAATGCAGACCTGGAAGCACTATATTTTCTCTAATCTTTAGGCTTCCCTTCAAAATAATATTGAGTATGGTCAAGTGGAGCAAGAAGTATATCAGTGCCTTATATATTAAAAACAATTAGTTTTTAAGATTCCAAAAGTATTGCAGCAGTAAATACTGTTGTGCTATAAACATGGCCACCTGGAATTTACTAAAAACTTGCAACGTGTCAATGGTGTATCTATGTCACAAGGCTATTTTCTAGTGCAAATATCTAACAAAAGTGACTTAGGACCATTTTTTTAAATGGACTAAACATTCAGAAGCCCCAAGAAATCATGCCAATGGAGCCCAGGCTGTGTATGAATTTTTCATCATTTCCATGGTGATGATCATATTCTCCACCTCCTAAACACATCTGAAATAGTCTGATCAGGCACACCATTTCAGCATTAAGCACTACATCGCTATGTAAAAGAATCCTCCATTAACGATGAAAGTGATAATAGTGCTGTCTCATTCAACATAAAATATATTATTCAAACAACCATCATTTGTAATCACTTTAATATTTAAAGGTACAGCATTTTTCATTACCACAAAAATGTCAGTTATTACACTACCACTGTCATACTACAGACTATCACTCTGTGCTTTCTCCTCATGTCAATTTTAAGGTCCATGTTGGTGCCCTTCTGATATCAGGAGCAAAAGATTGGCTTGTTACTCTCTATTTTTATCGACTTTAAAACTAATTAAAAGTGCTGTCTCCTAGCATCATTTTCTTTTCCTTTTTCAACTATTTTCCACCAATTTCTAGCCTGCCCACACTTATAACACTTTCTAATCATAAATTACACCTATGTGACTGTGTGACCACGGTATTTTACACATAATGCTGTTTTACAACCTCTTTACAGCTTATGGTGCAGACAACATCGTCATCTTGCTTCATTGCTTCATTCATTGCTACGCTCTTTAGGAAACCATTCTTACCTGTCTGAACGCAACCAGTGCATGTCTAACAATGGCTTTTGTGCCTATGCATGTACAATCCTGCCCCCCGTTCACAAGGATTTCCCCTTGGCCTTTTTTTTCACCTACATGTTGGCCCTCAGATTGCACTGTACCTCTCTTCCACTTCCTTAATCCAACAATAACCTCTGCACTGTCAGGCAGCCTGTAAGGTAGTGAGTTGTGAATGAATCAACATTTCTACAGTAGCACAGTAAGTAGTATAACTCCAATATTTATAAGAATTAACATTGTTCTCTTCTCACTGACTGCATCCCTTTCTCTACTTGCTTGCTGAAGCTGAACTAATCCATGCAAGTCTTGGCACGCTTTTCAAACTGGAGCTGAGTTTCAAAGTGCATGTTTTATCCATCATCACAAATACTTCATCTCAGCGCTTGTCCCAGCTTCTCCCTCACCCTGACTGAAACCCCTGTTTATTTATACACCATGTCTAACTTAATTTCTCCAGTGTTCGCCTTCTTTGCCTCCCATCTACCATTGTGCAAAAAGGCCAACTTGTTCAGGCCTCCACTGCTAGCTGCTTCATGCCCCACGCTAGCAAATGTTTATCCACCACTCCTGATCCTGCTGATATACTCCTGACCCAGTGCCCTAAGATTAGAATCCATATCCTTGTGCTTCAACCTCTGCATGGCCTTGCCTCACCCTACCTCAACAACTTTCTCCAGCTATATATTTATCTTGAACTATTCAATCTTCTAATTCTTATTTTTTATGCGTTCCTCTCACCTTATCATTGGTGACAGACCTTGGACCTGTCCCTAACACTATCTATGCCTCAACTATCTTTTCAAAATAGCTCTTGGTCACCACTCCTAACATTCTCTCACAGGTTTGGTGATTGTTCTGCATTTATTATTATTAATTTTATTGTTTCTCACCTCTCTGTTAAGTTTTCTGCATTACTGAACTATGTACAGCTGAGTTATTATTATAAGAATTTAACCCTTCTTTAAACATCACAGGAACTTGTCCACTGATGAATCATATTTCCTCCAAGTGTCCTGTATTTCTAATGACGGTGAGCAATTTGACATAGGTGTGAATAGCCAAGGTGTTTTCCCCAGGGTAGGGGTGTCCAAAACTAGAGAGCATTGGTTTAAGGTGAGAGAGGAAAGATTTAAAAGGGACGTAAGGGGCAACTTTTTCACGCAGAAGGTGTAGGGTATAGGGAACGAGCTGCCAGAGGAAGTGATAGAGGCAGGTTCAATTATATTTAAAAATCGTTCGGAAAGGTACATGAATGAGAAAGGTTTAGAGGGATAATGGCCAAAGGCAGGCAAATAGGACTAGTTCAGGGATATGGGCCGAAGGGACTGTTTCCATGCTGTATGACTCTAGGTGGGGAATTCTTCAAGGACTCATGTGCAGGATTGTATTTAATCCATTCTGCTAGCTTCACTGAAATATTTTAGTGATAGCTTTCTAAGTTCTCATCAGTGCTGTTTGTAAGTCATGTCTCTATGACTTTGGAAGTCACAGTCTGAGATTACATAGAAACGTAGAAAATAGGTGCAGGAGTAGGCCATTCAGCCCTTTGAGCCTGCACCACCATTCAATATGATCATGGCTGATTGTGCAATCTCAGTATCCCCTTCTCACTTTCTCTCCGTACCCTTGATCGTTCTAGCTGCAAGGGCCATGTCCAGCTCCCTCTTGAATCTATCTAACAAGCTGACCCCAACAGCTTCCTGTGAAAGAAAATTCCACAGGTTCACAACTTTCTGAGTGGAGAAATCCTTCCTCATCTCAATCCTGAATGGTTTACCCCTTATTCTTAGACTGTTTCCCCTAGTTCTAGACTTCCCCAACATTGGGAATGTTCTTCCTGAATCTAGCTTGTTCAGTCCCATTAGGATTTTATATGTTTCAATGACAGACCTCCTCATTCTGCTAAATTCCAGTGACTACAAGCCCAGTCAATCCAGTCTTTCCTCATATGTTAGTCCTGCCATCCTGGGAATCAGTTTGGTGAACCTTTTCTGGACTCTGTCAGTAGCAAGAATGTCTTTCCTCAGAGTAGGAGGCCAAAACTGCACAAAGATTATATTAGTTAACAGGTTCATGTTTAATTAGTTGTATTGGGTGACATGAATATTCTAAAGCTAAAAAAATCCTATCATCACACTTAATGTCCCAACAGTGGATAGTGGGAACCCTGGTTAAAATTTTCCCTTCCTTAATTGAGTGACACTAAAGCCAATTGTAACACCACATTAATATACCATCTGAGTTTATTGTTCTATTGTACTATACATTTGTCTCTTTTTAATGTGTTAAGCATTTGAAAAATATCTAATTGTGCATTTTGTGCTTTTGGCAGGTTAATAATACAGCTTCAAACATTGATTGAAAAGTTTCTGTATTTTATGAGATGCAAAATTAGGAAATCTCTGTTTTCCATTTCTCATCTCAATGTTTTATTCTCATGATACCATAGTCATAACACACAAACAGATTATTCTTAGTTGTATAGTGATTGGTTGTTGTTGGAAAGACATATTTGTTTAGCAAATACCTCTACAATTAGGCACATTGTGATATATACCTTGAAAGAGATGTAAAAACTGTCACATCTGTTTTTTTTTTGCAGATGGTACATCCCATTGTTTGTCCTCATCTTTCTGATGATGTCCTGCTACATTCGCATATTTTATGTGGCTAAACGGAGGGTAAGAATCCAGATTTAGAATTCCTGAAATTAAGTCTGGCAATAAGTTGATGCTAAACTTATATGGTCATTTCTATTTGAATTTATTTTCTACTTAGGGAACAAGTAATCATTCTTTATCTTGTTCATCTTTCCAAATAATGTGAAGCTATTAAGTAACTCTTCTGCTGTCCATTCTGTTAATAATATAACATCTGAAATTATTTGCTTCTATTGGTTACCTGTTTCTGAAATAATTTGCAGATTGCATCAGCTTCATTTGCAGTACATATTTGTAGTAATTAACATTGTGTTAATATTGCAACCAGTGAAATGCCCAGGAATCTAAAATTGGATTTGGGAAATATTTGATTAAAACCTGAGCATAGTTTAGACCAGTTGAAATGAAGAGGAAACTAATTTGCATTTACATTATTATTTCTCTCATTAATGCCCCTGCGAGTTAGATGTCAATAAATTGTGTTGAAATTTAGTTATTGTGTTATGTAGGTAAACATTTACTTTATTATGTATGTTGCATGTGTGTTTTCAGTGGTCTGTCTTTAAAGTTCCTGAAACTGCTAATCACTATCATTAGTTCATTTTAAAATCACAGGCAACTGTAATACATTTTCAGACCTTAATGTGAGTTGTGCAGATATGCAAGAACTTAATATTAGAAATACGAGCAGGAGTGGACTATGTCGGTCTCGAGTCTGCTTTGTCATTCAGTAAGAGCTTGCTGATCTTCAATCTCAGTTCCATTTATCTTGTGTCCCCATATCTGTTGATTCTCCTGGAGTCTGAAAGTTTATATATTTCCACCTTGAATATGAGCATTTACACCCTTAGGGGTTAAATATTCTAAATGTATGCAAATCTGTGACTGAAGTAATTTCTTCTCATCTCTGTCCTAAATGGCTGACTCTTTATCCTGAGACTGTGTCCCTAGTTCTAGACTTGGCAGCCTGGGACCTTCTTGGCATTGACTGTGTCAAACCATCTCAGAATCTTGTGTTTCAAAGAGATAATTTAAATTCTGGAGCGTACAGCCCATTCTACTCAGTCACCTCCCATAGGACTACCCTGTCATTCCCAGGAATCAATCCAGTGAGGATTCATTGCAATACCCTTCATTCACAATATATGTCATGGTATAGGTATGGAAAACAAATATGTGCCCTATCTTCCAGGAGTTGGCTCATCAAAGCTCTGTACAATAGCAGCCAGTGCTCTTGTAGTAGAGCCCAACAAAGCTATTTGCCTTCCAACTTGCTCATTGTACCTGACTATTGACTATCTATGTTATATTCAAGAATACCCATGATCCCTGAATGCCAACATTTAATACTTTTATGCCATTTCAAAAATATTATGCTTCTTTTCTAACAAAATGAATAACTTTACATTTCCCCACATTTTATGCCATCTGCCACTTTGTTGGCCACTCATTTAAATGACTTGTATTCCTTTGCAGATTTTGCAAATGTGTTCCCCCTTGCAGTTTGCATTCGCAGCAAACGTGCTATGTTACAGTCAATTCTTTCATCTAAGTCATTAATACATTTATATGCATCTTTCAATGATGATCGAGAGTAGACTGATGGGGCAGTAATAAGGGGCAGGATTTATCCTGCCTTTTTGTCTGGGCAATTTTCAGTATTGTTGGTAGATGTAAATGTTGTAGCTGTACTGAAACAGCTTGGCTAAAGGTGCAGCTAGTCTGGAACACAAGTTTTCAGTACTGTTGTCAGAATATTGCCAAGGTCCATGGTCTTTGCAGCATGCAGTGCCTCCAACGATTTCTTGATACCTTATGTGTGAATTACCCGTGCTGAACATGGTCATCTGTGATGCTACATCAGAGGTACATGAGAGAAGGTTGAGATGGTTCATCCACTCAGCATTTCTAACTTTATCTTTTGCACTGATGTGCTGGGCTCTTCCATCATTGAGGAGGGGGATATTTGTGGAGCCACCTCCCCCAGTGAGTTGTTTAATTGCCCACCACCATTCAGAGCTGGATGTGGCAGGACTGCAGAGCTTAAACCTGATCCATTGGTTGGGGAATCGCTTTGCTCTGTTACTTACTACTAATGTTGTTTGGTATGCAAGTAGTCCCATTTGTAGCTTGTTGTTACCTCATTTTTAGTTATGCATGATGCTGTTCCTGGGATGTCCCTCTGCACTCTTCATTGGACCAGGGTTGATCTATTTGCTTGATGGTATTTGTAGAGTTGCAGATATGCCAAGTCATGAGGTTGCAAATTGTGCTGGAGTACAGTTCTGCTGCTGTTGATGACCCACAGTGTCTTATGGATGCCCAGTCTTGAATTGCCCAGTCTGTTTGAAATTTATGTCATTCAGCACGCTGTTAGTACCACATAACACAGTGAAGTGTATGCTTATTGCAGAGATGGGTCTTCATCTCCACAAGGGGGGTGCAATGGCCGCTGTTACCAATACAGTCATGGACAGATGCCTCTGCAGCTGGCACATTGGTAAGGATGACGTCAAGTGTGTTTTTCCTTCTTGTTGATTCCTTCACCACCTGCCGCAGACCCAGTCTAGCAGCTATGTCCTTTAGGACCTGACCAGCTCGATCAGTAGTACTGCTGCTGAGCCACTCTTGGCAGTGTACTTTGAAATCCCCCACCCAGAATATATTCTGTGTCTTGCCATCCTCAGTGTTTCCTCCAATTGTTGTTCAACATGGAGGAGCACTGATTCATCAGCTGAGGGCAGACAGTATGTGGTAATCAGCCCGAAGTTTTCTTGTTCATGTTTGACTTGATGCCATGAGACTTCATGGGGCCTGCAGTCAATGTTAAGGACTCTCAAGACAATTCCTGTCTGACCCTATATTGTTTTGCTGCCACCTCTGGTAGATCTATCCTATAATTGAACATGCAATTTCCAGGAATGGTGTTGGTGTCTGGGACATTGTCTGGAAAGTATGATTCTGCGGGTGTGACTGTGTCTGGATGTTACTTGACTAAGTCTGTGAGACAGCTCTCCCAATTTTGGCACCAGTCCCAGTAAGGAGGACTTTGCCAGGATTGACAGGGCTAAGTTTGCCATTGTCGTTTCCAATGCCTGTGTCAATGCCAGGTTGCCTGTCTAGTTTCCTTCCTTTTTTTTAAGCTCTTTAATAGTTTGATATAACTGAGTGACTTGCGAGGCCATGTCAGAGGGAGATAACAAGTCAACACATTGCTAAGTTCCAGGAGTCACATGAGGCAGGCAGATTTCCTTGTCGAAAGGGCATTACTGACCCAGATGGATTTGGTAGCCAATTTTTTTTCTAATTCATTTGTTGGATGTGGATGACGCTGGCTGGCCGGCATTTATTGCCAGTCCCTAGTTGCCCTTGAGCAGGTAGTGGTGAGCTGCCTTCTTGAGCCGCTGCAGACTTCCTGCTGTGGGTTGACCCACAATGCTATTAGGGAGGAAATTCCAGGATTTTGACCCAGCGACAGTGAAGGAACGGCAATATATTTCTAAGTCAGGATGGTGAGTGACCTGGAGGGAACTTGGAGGTGGTGGTGTTCCCATATGTCTGCTGCCCTTATCCTTCTAGATGGAAGTGATCGTGGTTTTGAAAGGTGCTGTCTGAAGATTTTTGGTGAATTTCTGCAGTGCATCTTGTAGATAGTAGACACTGCTGCTACTGAGCGTTGGTGGTGGAGGGAGTGGATGCTTGTGGATGTAGTGTCAATCAAGCGGGCTGCTTTGTCCTGGCTTCTGTCAAGCTTCTTGAGTGTTGTTGGGGCTGCACTCATCCAGGCAAGTGGGGAGTATTCCATCATACTCCTGACTTGTGATTTAAAGATGGTGGACAGGTTTTGGGGAGTTAGGAGGTGAGTTACACTCCACAGTATTGCTAGCCTCTGACCTGATCTTGTAGCCAATGTGTTTATGCGGTGAGTCCAGTTGAGTTTTTGGTCAATGATAAGCCCAGGATATTGATATTGGGGGAACTCAGTGATGGTAACACCACTGAATGACAAGAGGCAATGGTTAGATTGTTTCTTATTAATGATGATCATAGCCTGGCATTTGTGTGGCATGAATATTAATTGCACTTGTCACCCCAAGCCTGCATATTGTCAAGATCTTGTTGCATTTGAACATGGACTGCTTTAGGATCTGAGGAGTGGTGAATGTTTGACAATGGTTTCATGGGCATCGTTAGACTTTAAATTCCAGATTTTTTAAAAAAGTCAGAGTTATCTGCCATGGTAGGATTTAGATCAGTTTCCAGAGCATTACCTGGGTCACTGGATTTCTCACCCAGTGAAAACAACAGTACACCATTGCCTCCCTGAAGTTAACACTGGTGTTAATGGGAGAACAGCACAGCTCAGCACAATGAAGCTTACTGCATGGGTTTCCATCCGGGTCTCCCTGTCTTCATATCAGTGGTCCTGCTCTTCTCTAGCCAATTCTAAACTCTAGTCACCCGTTGGTCTTTGACCCACTAGCAGGCAGTAGGGCCATTTTTCCTGCAACTAGACGGAAGGAAGGGTTGAATATGATAGGGGTGGATGGCATGAGAGGTGATGAGGTGTCTCCAGTGAGTGAGCCAGAAGGATTAATAGCTTGGGAGGGTGTGGTGTGTGAGAACTGTTGAATGGGCACATTGTATGTGACAGTCAGAAATTTAGATCATGCACCTTGGTGAAATGTGTGTGTGGTGTCAGAGGTAGTCCGTGATGGCCCCGTGAATGTGTGGTAGCAGAGAGAAGATGGTGCCAATCACCATTGTGGAACAAAGAACATATTGGCCTTACTCCTGCATTGCTGAGCATTCCTTTTAACCAGGGACACAGCACTAACCTGGGCCATTACCTGGGTCCAGTCTGGCTGTGTCTGGTGGTGTAGCCTCCTGGATAAATGATGGCTGTCTTCCCCACTAGCCCAACTACCAGCATGTCCAGTTATTCAAGTGAAAGTGATAAGGGCCAGTGTTCCTCTAAGCTGTGTGGTTGCATAACAGCTCTGAGATTCCACATATAGCAAATGGTTGATACATTGACTTCCAGTTTTGCAAGTTGCTGCCATGCATGGACCTTGGTGGACTGCACGCCGAAAAACAATTTAGAGGGAGTATTGAGAACTGGTATGGGCTAAAAACACATATATGTAAATTAAATGTAGGGAAAGGAAAATTAGCCTCTAAGATAGTTGCAAGCCTCTTGTTCTTGAAGTTTCTCTTTCCAAAGTGAAAGAATTGAAGTTAAAGTCAGATTCAGCAGGGGCAATGGCTTTTGTAGTCAGATAGTTGGTGTTTCACTTTTCAGTTGGACTCTGGTTAAGCAGATTGTGGAAGAGGAAGAAGATTTGCTATTGGTCACTTATTCCATGATAGTAGCACTTGTAGCACTTACAGATTATTGAGGTTTTCTAAGCAGGACAGGGAGGAGTTGGCTAAAGTAGATTGGAAGCGAAGACTCTTATGGTGGGACAGTTGAGGAACAGTGGAGGACTTTCAAAGCAATTTTTCAAAGTGCTCAGCAAAAGTATATACCAGTAAAAAGGATGGACTGTAGGAAAAAGGGTAATAGGGATAGCTCTGAAGTATTTTTTTTTCACATTGGTGGACAGCCGCAGTCCTAATCTGCAAGATCAATAAAACTAATAACCTCCGGCCTGGGAAGATTGTGCATTTTTCTGAAAGTCTTTTTGCAATAATAGATTGCCTGGGCCCGCAGAAGATGATGTTTTCTGCTGAAGCAAAACTCAGAGAAATCCTCCCCACCAGTAAAGACTGCAAAATGTCTTGTTAGATCAGTGTTTCAGTTGAGCTTAGTAATACAGTCTCTGCTGCTATTGGTATAATATTTATTTTTGAACGGTTGAGTATTTTACAAATAAAATGTAGTTGTATTCTATTTTTAACCACAAACTTGTGTAGTATGTAACATAGTGCCATTCAAGACTGATTGGAATATATACTAAATATGTTTTTTTATTCCCTGAGAATAGTTGGTTATTTGATTTAATTATAAATATTTGTTTTTATAGTGCATCTTGCTCTCTTGATAATGTTAAATTCTGAATCTATAAATCAATGTTTAACCAAATTCATGTGAAAAGACAATCAAGTTCAGAGTGCACAATATTTTGAGACAGTTGGTGACTAATCATTATGAACCAACTTTAAATAATTGCAGTCACTTACTTGACTTATATCTGAACAAATTAAATTGCCGCCATTTGGAAATAATGTAGATAGTTCAAATTTTGCAAAAAATTTACTAAGATAAAAGTGAATATTATTTTGAAATGGTGCTTTGTTAAAAAAGAGATTTGAAATTACTGGGTGCAAACCCCAGAGTGAATTTTTGAAAAGAACTAATGCCACATTCTAATGACTTAGGATCACAATAAAAGAGGACTGTATGTATGCATCACTGTCCCCCTGACATTCCAGCCCCATTGAATTGGAGACAACCATGCTGGCCAGCTATCTGTAAAACTGTGCCAAAGACTATTGAAGAAGCATGAATGGGAAATCGTCTCCTACACCATTAGCAATGTATCTGGACAATTGCCTGGATGAAAGCAAAACATTGGACAAAATAACTTGGACAATGAAACTCTGACAATGAAAGAAATGTGCTCAGAATAATCTCACAGTGTATAATTGAAATGAATCAACTAGGAACATGTTTGTGCCATTGGTCATTTGGAGAGAGAAGACCATGTGGCAAGCCAGATAGCATTTATGTTTAAGCAACTGATTTCTCGACAGAACAGGACAAGGAACTGAGATGTTTAAGGAGCAAGTCCCCGAGTGCCCCCCCACTCCACTCAACTTTGCCCTCTCTCTCTCTCTCTCTCTCGTTCTCTCTTTCTCTTTCTCTCCCGCTCCCCCTCTCTGTCTCTCTCTCTCTCGTTCTCCAGCCAACTTGCAAGTTTTGAACCCTGGCTGCTGATCTTGAGTATCCAAGTACTGCAGACGGAGACTTTTCAAAGAACTCAACCAACAATTGCTATCTCCAGAACAGTCAAAATTCCCAGCTGTAATTTTAAACTGCCCCACACCGAAAGGAGGAGCACCAAGTTCAGCCAGAGGCAATTCGTCACCAAAGCTTTAAAGCTCCCAACCATTTCTTCAATTTTATTGGAATTTAAATTCCAATATCTGTCCTCATACACTATAACCTGTTTATATTATGCATGTGTGTGTGGAAGAGAGAGAGAGAGAAAGAAAGTCATAGTGCTTTTTTTATTATTTACTTAGGCAGGGTTAAGTGCAATAAAAATTATCCTCCCTTTTTAAAAACTCAACAATGTCCATTATCTGTTTATGATCACATCATGTAAATGGTTACATGCACTGAATTGGCAGGAATAGATTTCCTTAGTTAACTTGGTCAAGCATATTATGACACAGCTCTGAAGCAGATGAGATTTAAACCAGGCCTCCTGGCCCGGAGGCATGGACACTACCACTAGACTACAAGAGCCCCAATTAACAAGTATATCCTTTTGAAAAAGCCCCTGTGGGCCAACAAGGAGTATGAAAAGAAGGGAACCTTTTAACCCTCATCACCTGACCATGACATTGTTTATCTGTTTGGCATTTTCCCAATTGCTGCTGTGAAGTTTAATGCTTGCAGACAAGGACAGTTTTTACAACATTACCAGACATCAAGTAGAAATAGTTTTGGTGATGTATTAACTACTTTATTTCCAATAAATATTCTCATTTTCTCTTCTGAGGTACATACGGTTGGCATTAGATATCTCTAAAATTGAAGTTTACATCATTTATTATCCTTCTTTCAACAAAACCAGGTTTTCGTTCAAATTGCACTAAAGTTGCGTCATGTACATTTTTAAAAGCATTGTAAGAAAATTAATTTGGTGTGCTGCGTTTGAATTCTCTGACTATAGATTTAACTGATTGATATGTTATGGATTTAATTGATAATTTGATTGGATAGTGTCTGAAAATGGGTGCAGGAATGATGATACATGATTGACCCAATCCCATTCCTTTCTCTTGTAGGCAGCATGCCAAATTTGTGCTGCATTCTAGTTTGCATTATTGTTGCAGTCTGCCAGTGTGAAATGCACTACTGAGCGACTACTGGATACCCGATTGCATATAAGACTGGTACCACACTCAGCCAGCCACATCTGCCTGGACCAAATGCTGAGCTGTGTTAGAGAAGATGCTACAACAGAGGAGAGAGGATTCTTGAAGTTCCTCTCAAACTGCCCTTGTTGCTTTGATGGAGGAAATGAAGAGGTGGAGAGATGTGACCAATTTACTGGGGCTTGAAAGGCCTCCAGATTTACTTTGTGAAGGGCCAGATAGCTGTGCTGGTCAATACCAGGAACTCAGTTCACAGGATCTGGATGCAGATGTTCAACAACCTCATGTGAATAGTCATCACTGCACCTTAGCCTTGCACATTGCCCACTCAACCACAATTTCATCACTCACCGATAAACTGTCGCTATCAATTTTCTGAAGAAGGGTCAAGGCCCGAAATGTCAGCCTTCCTGCTCCTCTGATGCTGCTTGGCCTGCTGTGTTCATCCAGCTCTACACCTTGCTATCAATCATGACTTATGCCTAATCATAGTTTCACGTGATCGTCACTTACTTAGCAAACCTTATACTCACCACTTCTACATGCTGCCAGCTATTCAAATGTAATAGCCACATCACCCATACATATTGCATCGCACACATTGATGTAGTTTCCTTTCTTTCAGAACAGTTTGGCTAATACAGAGTCAACAGGAGCCAATGCCTTAGAACAGACATGGCTGCATATTCTTGCTGCAGTGGAGGAGACAGTGGTCATCATTTTTGGAGTGGACATTGCTGAGTCTATGGTTAATGATGGTGCCATGGAAACCACAGAAGATGACGCTATCTTAATCCACATTTTCACATCCCACTTCTACCTTGTCCAACATTACATTCCGATTTACAGAGATAGCAGGAACTGCAGATACTGGAGAATCCGAGACAACAAGGTGCAGAGCTGGATGAACACAGCAGGCCAAGCAGCATCATAGGAGCAGAAAGGCTGACGTTTCAGGCCTAGACCCTTCATCAGAAAGATTTAAGCACATGCCTCCTGCTCCTGCCCCGACCTTCTCCGCTGTAATCCTACTATTCTGTCCTGTCAAGTATCAAGTTCTGCACTGGGTCAAGCCATAGTGGAAGAGGTGGAAGTGCAGGAAGGCAGTGATGAAGAAACGGTGTCACACGCTCTCAGTTTCATAGCTGCCAGCTCAGATACTCACACTGCATAACTTAGAAGGAGATTTCCATGTGCTGAGACAACTAGGCGCAAGTGGTGTGTAGCCAGGGGT